GCTAGGAAGCTGACACGGCAGAGGTACTCGGTCGGAGTACAGGAGCTCCATCAGAGATAGGTACTGATTAAAAAAGGAAAAGAAAATATCCGACATATGTAATAAACGGAAAGACATATTATTATTTTATTATTTATATAGCGCCATCAGATTCCGTAGCGCTGTACAATGGGTGCATACAAATTTGGATGATTTAGTATGAAATTGGCCCTTACATTAAAAAAAGTTAATATATTAATATGCTCCTATTATTGACCATTTGCAATCAAAACTTTTTTTATAATTATTACTTTGAATTATTGCATTGTTTTGTATCACTAAACCTTTTGATTTTAATACATTAATTGGTTGGAGATTTCTAACTGGAGGAGATTTGTAGCAATCGATAAAGCAATCAATGTTAAAGGTCATAATGTAGGATTGAAACGGTGACATCTCTAAAAGTAGCATCAAGGTATGATATCCAGGAGATCTTTAATTTAATCCACAGAAAATCTCATACACTTCAACGTGTTAGATTTGTCTATCTACTCAGTGAACCAAAATATCTACATCTTAAAGGAACACTGTAGTCACCGAGACCACTTCATCTCACCGAGACCACTTCATCTAAAACAGTGCAGGCTTTTTAGAAAATGCAATATTTACATTGTAGTGTTAAGTCCACCTCTAGTGGCCTTCAAAATGATAGCCACTAGAGATGCTTCTGTGACACTGCTCTCTGTAAGGAGCACTGGAGCATTGACCTCCCTCATCGCGGGAGGCAAAAAGGTGAGCCCAGGTACAAGAAAAAAAAATAGTATATCTTTTTAATTGTAATGCACACAGGGAGACCAGCCAACAAGTAGGTACAGGGAAACTGTAGTGTTAGGTATTCAGATATTTATTCATAATGCTATAGTATCCCTTTAAACCTCTGTATTAATTTGCAGACTTTTTAATTCTTCTCTACCTTGTGGTTGCTTCTTTCCAGCATCTAAAACAACATCTTATATTAAACCATCTTTTTGTTCTCTCACTCTGAAAATGTGTTTCCTGTGTTTTATTTTGCGGAATGTTCATATTTTGATTAAAGCCTTCCACCCCTTCTCTCCTTTTGAAAGTGGACACCTATAAAAAGTATAGAAGAATTTTTATGTATAACAAAGTGAGTGTGAGTTAAATCACTATAACCGTTATGGATCTTAGAAATGTGATGTAAAGGATGAAAAGTTTATATTTAGTTGCCCAGAGATATTTTGTGGATATTTTAACTTGGTAAAATAAAGGTAATGCAATAATATAATTAAAGAGAGGGGGCAACAAGCCAATCGGCAATTAGAAATGCCCTCCCATTTATATGGCGCCTAGAATCCAAATTGTACAGGCACCAGGGGAGATCTTTGCTGCTCATTAGAAAACAGCTCTAAGGTTTATAGAAGGTGATGTGATACAAACAGGAAGCTATTTAATACAAGGTTTTGCTTTAATATTCAAAGAGATTTTGGCAGAAACACCATTGACTCAAGCATTTGTAGTAAAAGACGATTTATTGATGCATTATACTTAGTTACCTTAATGTATTGGGACTTTTGACACCAAATAACACATTGTTGGGTTTTTTCTCTTTATTTTGCATCAGTATGTATATTTTCAGCAGAGAAAATAATAGCTCAGAGTTGTAATTAGCAGTTTTTTGAAATAGTCTAACATCTGGAGATAAGGTGATGTATGCGAGGAGTCTACACTGAGCAATCCTTTAGATCAAACAAGTCACAAAAATCAGAATGTTTAAACAAAAGAACATCTTGCACAAGTGATTATTTGTATGCGTGTTTATATATCACTTATCTAAAGAACTTCACAAAATAGTTATAACCAGGTGAGAGGTTACAGACAGTGCAAAATATAATTAGATATACAAATACAAGGAAAATAGAGCATTACAAAATATAGTATTTGTGGCAAATGACCTGTAAACATGCAAAAAGCTAATTATTTGTTTATGATTTTTTTTAATTCAATTTCTTTTTATTAGCAAAAATCAGACAATAGATAATCAAGTAATAGTATATAATTCAATCAGTGCATGTCATTCAAGAGATACACAAGGAAAACATATGTAAGTAAGGTAAATACAATCTTGACACAAATAGCTAGGATATATGAATGTAAATTGTTTTGGGTGGGTGAATTCAGGTAAGGCATGGGCATTGAAAACTATACGGTTATGAATAAGGTCAGCCTAGATCATACAGAGAGCCAGTTCCGTACTGATATGGAAATAGGTTTCCTGCCACACTGGCCCACAGCGGTTGGGGCCTCCCAGGCAAGGTGCCATATCAGAACTGTTATAGCAAAATAAAAACGAGAGGAGAAGACCGGGAGCAATTGGTAACCACAACCAAAGTATATATATGTGCATGGAACCTATACAATTGTAAGGCAATAAATGTGATATTATCTGTAGTATTGATATGGTGGATGTGACAACCTAGCAGTTGGGGCAGTTACTGGAGTGCTTGCCCCCCTATCGGGGACATCCAGATGGATAACAAAAGCCACATGGGTGGCAGGGTGCATACGACCTGTTTGAATGTTTCAGGATAGTGAGAAGTCCTATCTAGCCCTTGTGCTAGGATGCTGTGATGCTTGCTTGGAAGTGGGTCTTTTCTTCCCCACAGTTGGTTTCCACCTGGTCCGCTGAGGCAGTGCTTTAGCAAGTGCCAGAGATGAGTCCATGTACCAGTATGGAATGTCCACCTGGGGTAGATTGAGACTCTGCATAAGACTCTGCATAAAGTCCGGGGGAGTCCACCACCGTTCTGATTGAATATATTGTGCCATCCCAAAGCACTGACAGTGAAAAGGGTTATCCCCTTCGGTACTTGACGCTCCGTTCCTGGAGGGACATGGTGATCGGGCGTAGAGCCTTACGACCCTGCAGCGTAGTCCAAGCCAGGTCCAGAAAAAACTGGATTCCGATGTTGTCCTTCTGTAATGCAGGAGAGTATTTAGAGAGTAGCAAAATTTCTTAGTGAATAGTGAACTTGGCAAATTATATCTCTGGGTGAGTCTTGTGGTAGCCCCTTCGGTCTCAGGGCCCTGTGTGCTCTGTCCAGAAGCCCTGAGGCGTCTGGGGGCCTTTTATCATTATCATTGAATAATATTTGGAGCATGGCCGGCAGGTCTTCTTGTGTTTCCTGCGATTCAGGTAGGCCTCTAATGCGCAAATTATTGCGCCTACTTCGGTTTTCAATGTCTTTCATATTTCTGGCCATATGAGTGAATATGCTTTCTAAGTTGGATTGCCTGGTCTCAACAGCCTTCATGGTTGTAATTGCAGTTCAATTTTTGCCTCCAACTCTCCCACTCTTTGTCCACTATGTCTTTTCTTTCAGGAAGTGTTCCGGAGGATTGGAGGAAGGCAGATGTGGTTCCTATATTCAAAAAGGGTTCAAAATCCTTGCTTGGAAATTATAGACCTGTGAGCTTAACTTCTGTGGCTGAGAAAATATTTGAAAGGTTATTAAGGGATAATTTTCAAGAATTCCTTGAGAAGAACATGGTTTTCAGCAAAAATAAGCACGGATTTATGAAGCACAGGTCATGTCAAACTAACTTGATTGCGTTCTACGAAGAAGTAAGTAGAAGTATAGATCAGGGTGTTGCAGTGGATGTGATCTATTTGGATTTTGCAAAGGTATTTGATACAGCCACACAATAGATTAGTGTTCAAACTAGAGCAAATCGGTATAGATGAAAATGCTTGTTCTTGGGTTGAACATTGGCTTAAGTACAAAGAGTTGTTATTAATAGTAAATTTTCAAGCTGGACAGAGTTGGCAAGTAGTGTCCCTCAGGGTTCTGTTCTGGGACCCCTTCTATATAACATGTTTATAAATGATATTGAAAAAAGCATTGAAAGTCATGTTTCAGTGTTTGCAGATGATACAAAACTCTGTAAAGTGATCCAATGTGAGCAAGATATTACTTTGCTGCAGAGGGATTTAGGTAGACTGGGGGACTTGGCATGCAAATGGAAGATGAAATTTAATTTTGAAAAATGCAGTTATGCACTTCGGCGTAAAGAATACACAAGCAACGTATACCCTTAATGGAAGCAATTAGGGATAACACCACATGAAAAGGACTTGGGAATTGTTATAGACAACAAACTATGCAACAATGTGCAATGCCAATCAGCAGTGGCTAAGGCCAGTATGGTATTGTCATGCATGAAAAAGGACATTCATTCTCTGGATGAGAATATTATTTTGCCTCTTTATAAATCACTGGTAAGACCACATATTGAATATGCTGTGCAATTTTGGGCACCTGTTCTAAAGAAGGATATTATGGCACTAGAAAAAGTGCAGAGGCGGGCTACAAAATTAATAAAAGGAATGGAAAATATCAGCTATGAAGAAAGGTTAACAAATGTAAATCTATTTAGTTTAGAAAAACGTCGCCTGAGAGGGAATATGATAAATTTATACAAATATATTCGGGGCTAAAACAAACCATTGTGTGGAAATCTATTCCCAAACCGAACTTTACATAGGACACGAGGTCATGCGTTTAAACTGGAAGAAAGAAGATTTTGTCTTAGGCAAAGGAAAGGGTTTTTTACTGTAAGAACAATAAGGATGTGGAATTCTCTGCCTGAAGAAGTGGTTTTATCAGAGTCCATACAGATGTTCAAACAGCTACTAGATGCATACTTGCAAAAACAGACTATTCAAGGATATAATCTTTCAATGTAGGGTAATAACTGCTTGATCCAAGGATAAATCTGACTGCCATTCTGGGGTCAAGAAGGAATTTTTTTTCCTAGCTTGTTGCAAAATTGGAAGTGCTTCAAACAGTTTTTTTTTTGTTTTTTTTGCCTTCTTTTGGATCAACAGCAAAAACCAAATGTGAGGAAGGCTGAACTTGATGGACACAAGTCTCTTTTCAGCTATGAAACTATGTATGTAACTATGTCGGACATCTTTTGCCAGGATGGACTTCTGGTCTTGCATAGAGCCTCCAGTTGGCCCAACATGGAGGCCATGTCTGACCTGGAAGGAAGATTTTGCAGCAGCTCTCGAATATCCAAGTCTTTGGAGGTTGTAGATTGCTCTGAGAGTGCTGGGCTCTGTCACGGAGTCAGAAGCGTTGGACGGCACCGCCATGTTGCCGTCTATGTCGGACGTAAGGGCCCTCACTTTTTACCGAAAACAGTGGTCCAGTTCACTCGATCTTTTGCTTGATCCTGGTTCTAGGCTGTCTTGGGGTGCTAAGGACTTCTTTTTGTTGCCCATGAGGCTGGCTTTTGACTTTTGCGGTCATGTTTAGATTTCTTTTTTATCGGAGGGTCGGGAGCTCTCGAAGTGTGCGACCGTTCCCATGGAGTTGCAGGACACGCCCCCTTGTTCGTGATTTTTAACAGTGCACTAACATAAAAAAAACACAATGTGGGGGTATTTTTTAAAGTGTTTTAAATGTGATCTAAAAAGTTGTGATTTTTTTTTCACTGTAAATTCCAACAGATTTTGCAAACTTAACTTATATCAGAAACACCACTCTTGCTTCCAAGTGGTGGAAACAAGAGTGGTGAAACAGAACACTTTTCTGTTAGAAAGAGTGGAATGTGATAAACACATTGCTAAAAACAATTACTATATTAAATAATGATGGTTTGGGAACAAAAGAAGAACACATGAAAAAAATTGTGCAAAATTTGCAGAAAATTATGTCTAATTTTTGGCAAATTTTGGCACAGGTTTTTTTAAACTGTCAATATCTTGCCAATATCATTTCCATGTAGTGACCCAATTATGAAGCCTCACAATTGATATAAAGAAATATCCCTATAGTAAAAGTAAACATTGCTAGAATGTTATGTTATAAATATACAAACAGATAAGCTGAGATTTTAAATGTAATTTAGCATTTTAAAAACTTTTCCAATTTCCATTGAAATATATTTTAGTAGTAAGCACACTTTATAAAGCTAAATATTTACAGAAAAAGAAAGTAGATTTATTCAGTTTCTGCACAGCTGAGAAACACTGATACACAGTGCTGTGTGCATATGGGCAGGGTCAATAATATATCAGTATATTGTTTTATTCTGCATTTTAATCCTGTGCTTAAACAATTTATGATTTAATCCTTTCATTCTGTGTATGTACCAAAAACACAACATGCCATGCATCTGTCACAAGGCACCAAGAGTACAACACGGAATGTGATTGATACAAAACAGACTCGGAGGTATAATTGCCTTTGAACTTAGCTAAGAGCAGTAAAATGATATTCAGGTTTAAGGCAAATATTTTGTTATGGGCACAGTGAGCTCAGAACAGATCTCCTCTTAACCCATTGATAGCCTGAAATTCTGCATTCAGACATTCATTGAATTCTATATTTAATGCTACATTTCCCACTCTAGGGGACACTTAAATAGCACTACATCAAAGTTTCTTAGATAATAGAAGTATGGGTGTTTAAAAATGTTTACCTACACAAATATAATATGGCATTTTCTACTATGTATAAATCCATATGGGAAAAATAGCATAATTTAATTAAATAAATAGATATAGTGTATCCCATAATTGCTTCTCTCTATCATTCTCCTACTGATTGGCTCAGCCCCTAAATGTAATGTCAAAATGTGCCAGACCTCAATGCTACAAATAATGGGCATACTCTTATAAAGGACAGTCCTGGAGTGTCTAACCTCTCTAGCACCATGCTGGATCTTAGTCACTCTGACAAATAAAATATTAGATGTTGATCGTACCTCAACATTAAATTTACATGGCCAGGGTTGCCACTTCATTACTTGTGCTGTGTAATTTAGTATAGTGTAAAGTCATAAGGAAGAGAACCCCAGTTTATCTGTGTTAAAAAAAAAGTGAATAGGTGACTTAAAACCCAAGTATGTTTCCAGGTTTTGACCCTCTGTCACTAATACTAGCTGTTATACCAAACAGTTTTAGATGGCAGAACACCAAAGTAAAAAAATAAAATAAAATTCAAAAACATGCAAAAATAGGGAATTCTTATTTTGAGGTTGGAAATTTGACAAACCTAAATTAAGAGGTGTACAGCCAGTGGCGTACTAAGGGGGGGCGGAGCCAGATCTGCCGTGGGGGCGGAGTCAATCCGGATGTGGGGGCGGAGCTAAATGCAGCCTCATACTGCTGCACACAGAGGGGAAGCAGGAAGGAGTCCCTGCTTCCCCAACTACAGCACAGGAGAGACTGAATCCCCTCCTCCTCCAGCCCAAGCTGACTGTAAGTGAGAGAGTGTGTGCTGTGTGTGTGTAACTGTGATTGTGACTGTCTTTGACTGTGTGTGTGATTGTCTTCTTGTGTGTGTGTGTGACTGCCTGTGATTGTCTACCTGTGATTGTGTGATTGTCTACCTGTGATTGTCTGTGTGACTCTGTGTGTGTGACTGTCTGATTGTGTGTGTGTGTGTGACTGTCTGACTGATTGTGTGTGTGTGTGTGACTGTCTGTGAATTGTGTTATGTGTATGTATGACTGTCTGCCTGTGATTGTGTGTGTCACTGTGTGTGTGTGACTGTCTGCCTGTGATTGTCTGTGTTACTCTGTGTGTGTATGACTTTCTGCCTGTGATTGTGGGTGTGTGTGTGTGTGTGTGAGTGACTCTGTGACTGTGTGTGTGACTGTCTGCCTGTGATTGTGTGTGTGTGACTGTGTTGTGTGTGTGTGACTGTGTTGTGTGTATGTGTGACTGTCTGTGATTGTGTGTGTGTGTGTGACTGTCTGCCTGTTTGATTGCCTGCGTATTTGACTGTCTGCCTGTAACTGTGTGTGAGTGACTGTGTGTGGGACTGTGTGCATCTGACTGTGTCTGACGGTCTTCGTCCTGCAGTGAGCCGGCAGCCAGGATATGATGTCATCGCGGGCCTCTGCGTCATTAGAGGGCGTGCGATGGACCTGTGCAGAAAGAGCACAGAGATCCCAGCAGCAACCACTGACCACCAGGGACTGAGGATCCACTCCAGCCCTTCTAAAGCAAGGTAGGGAGGCTGGGTGGACCTCTTAATTATTAAATGTGTGTATGTTTGTGTGTGTCTGTGATTGTATGTGTGTGGGTCAGTGATTGTGCTTGTGTATATCTGTGATTATGTGTGTGATTGTGTGTATCTCTGCGTATGTGTTTGTAGATAGCTCCTTTATTTCCTGTCCTCAAATATTGCAATCCCACATAAGGATAACAAATAAGGGATTTATCTACTAAACAACTGAAAATAAGAAAAGGGCTTTTTTTATCCTTTAGCTGTTTAGTAGATCATTCCCTGAATTGGTGCGCGTATGTGAGATTTCCATACTTAAAGATACCAAATGAGGGTGCTGTTTAGCAGATAGCACCTTATTTGGTGTCCTTAAATATGGCAATCCCAAAAAGGATAGGAAATAGAGGAGTTATCTGCTAAACAAAGATTGAAATTAAGAGGTGTCAGCCAGCCCACAACAAGAAATCTGGGTGGCTAATGTGAATTATATGCAAATGTGTAGTCAGATGCCAGCATGCAGAACACAGCATGCTAGCATCAGACAGCCAATGGCGGCATATTAGAAGTTTTACTGCTCCACCTCTTCCTCCTGTTTTGACTGTGGTATCTTATGTGCCCCCCCATATATATTGTTCCTAGAGTCGCCACGATATCTGCATGTGTGTCAATGTGTATCTGTGTGTGACTGTGTTTGTGTGTGTATGTCCGTGTATGTGTATATGTGCAGACATCTAAAAATATCGCCAACACTACACACAAATACACTCTTGCATTTCAACGTCAACACTACATACAAACCCCACCATTATATATAACCGTACCACTGCATTCAAATACCACACAACACACAAATGCATGCTTGCATTCAAACGCCAACACTACATACAAACACACCGCTACATTCACTCACATATACTCCATACAAAAACATGCATACATTCAAAAACACAAACACTGCTTAGTGCTAAATACATTAAAACATTTTTTAGTTGTTTTTATATTTAAAGTTGAGGGGGGGGGAAAGGGGAGGGTGCCAAAAATAGGACCCGCCCCGAGTGCCAAATGCTCTAGGTACACCCCTGTTTACAGCCATTACAGCTTTATCACTAAAAACACTTTGTATTGGAAAACAGAAATAATGACAACTCACACGTTAGGATATATAGCAATATTTTATTCATCTTAGATCATCATGATTATGAAGTTCTAAAGTACTTCTCCATTTAGCACAGATAATTTACTTTAATATATTTATATATATATATATATATATATATATATTCCTCCTATACTTGCACAGGAGTTGCATTTCTTGTGGGAGTTCGACAAAAGCATAAATCATTGCATAATGAGGGACACTCATAGGAGCTCCCTAGGATGCCCCTTCAGAGACCGACAAAATGTTTAGGGCCATTTTCTGTATATTGTTTTATTCTCGGTTTGTTTTATTGCATCGACAGCAGACAAAATGTACACGGACTACAATGATTGGTTTGGTAACACAAAAGCAATTCCTTCATGTTCATATGCTGCAGGGATTGTAATTGCAAGTGTGTAACTTCGTAATCGTTTTTTCCTTTCTACATAATCTTTTTCCATTTGCATTTCACATATGCAACACTGTTTATAAATCATACAATGGATCAGAGTTCATCACATTGGCATACCCAATAGGGATAGGAAGATAAAGGCTTTTAGATTTACCCTTGTGAGCAAAACTCATTATTACATGCCATGTGAATTTTAATTAATACATATCTGACTTGGAGAATCTTTCCAATTCAGCTATTTGACCCAATATTTTAAATTAACTTTGAATTCCCTAACAATTTACAGCTTAATTTTAGTTTCATTTTTTTTGTCACAATGCTTTGAAAATCTATCTAAAAGTAGCAATGGAGCTGTGAGACTTGATATTGCACATGAGCAGATAAGGTATTGAGCAACGTCATTCCTTGGTCACCTAAAATAAATAAATAAAACAAGGAAGCCCACGAACACACAGAGGAATAAAGAATGATGCTAATTCAGTCAGTGCAAAAATGGAAAAATACAGTGTGTCTGCTTGGTAAATGGAACTGCAACTTTAAATACAGAGAGAGTCATTCTGCACACTCCCGGAACTTCTGCACTCTTT